GCTCTTTACTTTTACTCCTCATCAGATGGTTCTTGTGTGATCCCTGGCCATCATCTGGGTCTGAACCAGCTTATATTAGTTTTCACTGACAAGGGGCAGGCTTGCTTTCTAATTACTGAGAGAGTTCAGCTGGTGTCTTGGCTTTCCATGCCTTTTTACACCTCCCTTTCTTCATGTGTTCAATACTTTTTCCCTGTGTCATTCCACATTATTACAAATAACTTMATTTCTGGACATTTATGATTTGATTTCTTCGTATRTATGGATCACTTGGGTTGTTACCGACATCTGGTGAAAATTTCATGTCATTAGCACCTGTAGTAATATATTTACTGAGGAAAAATGGTGAGGTGTTCAATACCTATTTTATCCGCTGTATGTTCACTGTGAGTGTGCCGATCTCTGAGGAAAGTTTCATTACAGTTGGCTGAACTCCAAGGCTCAACATTTCCATTAAATCCTGGCCCACATTAAGAGCAAACCTCAGAGCCAGAGTCAGATTTTATTAATCAAGAGGCACAATTTGGAGAAATGGAATTTAGCGTGGTTAAAATGCTCGACAAGCTGCTGCCGCTGGATTAAAGACTTCCTCTTCAACAYGTGAGACTTGTAGACCTCACTTTGTCTGATATCACCCACAACACCAGCACCCTCCAAAGGCTCTGTTCTCACCCACTCCTACTCTCACTTCTCACACACCGCTGTGCTTCCATTCACAACAGTTATCAGATGACACATCTGTGGTGGGGAGGATAACTAATGACGAGTTAGCAGCCTACAGGGAGGAGGCCCGGGCCCTCGCATCCTCAAGTCAGAACAATGACTTCTGCAACACCAACAAGACTGAAGAGCTCAGATATGTGGAGTCTAAAACATCCTGGTGTTTATCAGGGGCGGAGCTAGACTTTTTTAAATGGTGGCAGGTGGTCRAGGGTTATTTAAGGTGTACATACAAATAAAGAAAAGAACTCTGGATTTGACCAGGCCACCACAGCTGATTCCTAATGCTTTAAAGCTAATTCATAGCTTAGTTAAGCTATTTTAATTAAGCTATAAAATAGCTTAATTAAGATATATAATTTAATTAGGCTATAAAATAGCTTTAATAAAAGCATTGGAAGTTAAGCTATTTTATAGTTTTATAGTTAAGAATGATCCAAAAACATGCTAAATGCTATTCACAATTTATTATTTGGCCATGTGTAGGCATACGAAGTTGACGATTCATGTAGAAGTTTTCCAAAAATTAAAATAAAATAAAATAAATTATCTTATTTCTCAATGTTATTCAAAAACTCAAGATGGCCACTACAGCTCACTTCAGAAGGTTAAAATCCAACCATTATAGGACTTCTTGAGACGAAATTTGTTGTGGAGAAGGTAAGAGTGATCACATGCCAATTGCCAATGCTARTCCCAATTTAAGCTAAMCACTTATGCTACATTTACATCAAATGCGTTTTGAGCATCAGGAGCATCTGGTTTACACGCAAAGTCAATGGTGGACGTGCATCTAGGGGGTGTCTAGAATCAGAGCAGTGTGTCTGGTGCATTTTGAGCAGCGCGGTTCGAAGCAGTGCCCGCGGTTTGAGAGTTTTCTGTGTGTATGGCGAGTACAAAACATCCAATGCTCGAGTTGGAAAATCTGAACTTTTGCTGCTCGACGCGTTACATCAACCAATCAGAGAGACTCTGCTCAGCGACGTACTGGTGAGGAGCCGGAAATACTGGAAGCCTGGGAAATCAGATCACACAAACAATGGAGGAAAAACTGACTGTCTGATCATTTACGATCATTCCAGTGTCCATTGTTGTGATGGAAATAAGAAGGACTTTACCTGGAGGACGATTAGTGAGGAAGTCGGCATGTCTGGTAACTTATTAAAACTACTGTTAAAAAGGCTCCTCCTCACATGTCTAAAGACGCACATCTACTGTATGTTCACATCAAATGCATCTGTCCTCAGTGGACTCCAGCGTTGGGAGGCGCACAATGCGTTTGGTGTAAATGTAGCATGATGCTAATGCAAATTTTAAAGAGGGCTATAATTCCAAGACTTTTAAACATATATAGCTGAAAATTTATAAGACGGAGGCAATCTGCTTCAGCTTTGGCCCCATTCGGACTAGCCATTTGCTCCTCATTCCAGTCAAAATTCAATCAAACCCATTTTGTTCAAAGATCTACAACAGGTAAGATGTTAATTGCTCACAACTTTTCCGCAGAGTCCAACTTCAAACGACCTGAATTACCCGTTTAAATGATTCGGTGGTAAATATAAAGAGAATAATAAATGTAGACTTTGAAGTGTCCAGTTGTGTTCACGGCTTGGTTCCAGGTTTGCTGCACAGTCACCTGAATTAATAAAGAGAAATTTAACACACAAGTACAAAATGAAGACAGGACATCACCGTAAATCAGACCCCCAGTGATGCTCGCAGATGATCTGCAGAATGTTTAATGTGTGGAGTGTCAGGGTGGGCTGGACCCCCCCACTCCCGGTCTGAAAGTCAACCCCTCTGCTCTTTGCAGGGTTACTATAAATACACCAGTTAGCCATAAACAATGAGGTGACTTGAATTTTCAACTAAATTAATACAACTCAGCACCTTTTTTTGTTCTCCTTTAACTTGTGCGCCATTTTTCTAGTTGATATTTRTGCAATATGTCCAAAAATGATATGAAGTTTTTTTTTTTAATTTAAGGTCCTAAGAATGCTCTTTTTTTATTGTAAGATGCAAACCAGCCAGTGGCTTTGCGCACACAGTGCGTGTGTGTGTGTGTGTGTGTGTGTGTGTGTGTGTGTGTGTGTGTGTGTGTGTGTGTGTGTGTGTGTGTGTG